TACAAACTTAAGGCTGGTTTGGACGTCTTATTATTTTAGAAAAGTAAAGACTAAGAAATTTAACGTTACCTGTTAACAACATTAATCATGAATTGAATTTTCAGTAGCACATTAATATCAGTCTCGAAAAAATAATGTCAGTTGGACATGTGCACAGAACACAATTACTCTTTCATTCATTTCTAGTGACCCGATCATTCAAGTTATGGTTCGTCTTGGGAACCAGGTCATTTGGGTCGGTCATTCAAATAGATCATTTAGAGTTTCAGTACTCTGTGATCTGTGAGACCCTACTCATACTCTTTGGTCGTAGGTCCTGTCAATCGTTTAATCCAGAACGTTCAAAAATGTAATTGCTATTATCAATACTTTGATGCGCACGGGTACTGAAGTAGTCTTTCAATGACTCAAGACCAAAGCGGATATGGAAACTACTTAGTTTTCTTTCTCATGCACCTAGCAGGGCCTTAAGCTAGTTAGTAACTGTGTAGTGTGTGTGTTAGTACCAGATCCACTGTTATATTAAAAAAATGTGACTCGACTATCTCTTTATTAAACATAAGCAGTAAGTCAGTCAATGTGACTATTTACTGCACTGTTAAAAACACTATAGACTTTTCTATACGTGGTGGAGCCATACTGCAGCTATATTAATAGTATAGTTGTAGCACGAATGGGTCGGCTCGACCGGGGAAGGACCACGCTCTCACAGAATACCAGCGTGAAATAGTAGCTTAATGCTGCTGTGTTTCGTATAGTGAGTGTAGAGAACCGGAGACCCTTTTTACTGAAAAAGAGGTATTCGATCATAGTCCTCACGGGTTACAACGCATCTGCATTTTAATTCGCAAACAACGATAGATATAGATGTCTATGGGCCACAGCAACCACTTAACATCAGGTGGACTGTGTGCTCGATTGTCACCCTTATTCTATAAAAAAGAAGATTAAGAATATATTATTCTATAAAAAAGAAGTACTAAGAAGAAAACGCTGAGTAATAATTAAAAATTAAAAATTTTGTACAGCCGACTTCAATATAAGTTATTAAGAATAACTCAATAACTATTGGTCTGACCTTGATCAAATTCATATGGGACCACACGAGAAGTATCAGCTTTCAAATAAAAAAAGGATCATCGAAATTGCTGAAGTAAGCCACTTACCACTTGTTGGACCTAGACTCGTTCGTCGCTCGAATGTGGTATTCCAACAGCCCTAGCCCTATATTCACACTTCCTCACTTCACCATTAAAGGCTTGTAAAAAGGAAACTTAAGAATCTTGATGTTATAGATACACCAAGTATTCAAGCGAAGCGATCTGCGTCGCCTTTCGCCGAGCATCAGTCTTTTTTGCCGACTTCCAAAAAGGAGACGGTACTCAATTCGATTGTATGTTTTTTTATGTGTGTTACCTCATAACTTTTTACTGGGTAAACCGATTTCGATGATTCTTTTTTTATATGAAAGCTGATACTTCTCGTGTGGTCCGATCAAGGCAATGGTAAGATCAAGGTCAGACCAATAGTTTTTGGGTTAATCTTAATAACTTATATTGAAGTCGGCTGTACAAAGTTTTTAATTTTAAATTATTTACGGATTTTATCGCGTTTAATTTTACTTATTGTTCATTCCTGACGTTTCGGGTACCTACTTTGTAGCACTGATGGTCACGGCGGAACTGAGGTGAATGACGTCCCGATGTCAAAGTTAAGAAGGTTTTTAATTCTAATTATTTAAATTAAATTTATCCAAATTCATGTCAAAATTCATATTTATTAGAGTAATACAACTATTGGAACGTAGATTAAAATATTACTAGAATATCCTCTTTCTATTTAGGCGATGTATTACTTATTTTAACTATTATTTATTCTGTGGTATTACTGACACTATAGGCTTTTATTGCGTCCTTCTCCGTTGCAAAAGATACGATTACGTGTCAATCTACGAGAGGAAAGCCGAGCGCTATGGTTGAGCACTGTCACTGAACTTTGTGCCGTATAGGGTAGCTATATTTCTGGACCACGCTACCACAGTATAGCTAATCGCGAGGAAGTAGATATTTTCATAAGAAACATTCTGCGAATGCAATTATCATAAAGTTAGAATAATATAGCTAACGCTTAAATATAATATAGCTAATGATTTATATTTTAATGTTATATTTCATGTTTAACATTGAAAAATTATTTATTGTATAATTACAAATCATATATAATATGTCGCAGCCAACTAGTTTAATTAGTCTTTTAGTAAACAGCCTAGCCTTTTTACTAAATGGCGCCGTTCAACCTAGCGGCCTAAGTGATAGTAAGTTAAGGCGTGCGGCTGGGGTGACCAATGTAACAACAAAAGCTTTAGCTTTAGGGTGGCCCAAGGGCCACCCCAGCCGCACCTTAACCTGCTCTCATTGATATTACAAGATAGGTGTAATGTTGTATTATACGCATCGGCTGAATATCATTAAATACTAAATAATCGAGACGTGTAAACCAGTCTTGAGGCATTAATCAAGTTTCGACCTTTCTGTACATTTCGAAATCGATTAAAAGATTCAGTAGAATATCATAGGTATTTAGTAATCGGACAACTTTAGCTCGGTCAATAAGTAGTAATTTTTTTCTAGAATAAGGTTAATAAACAAGCACACATTTTGATAATAATTAATTAATTAATTTGAAAAACTACAAATAATAGATTAAAATTGGATTAACGATTTTTTTATTTAGATTTAGATTAACGAGATTTTAAATATAACAGTTAATCTATACTAATATAATAAAGCGGAAGAGTTTTTTTTTGTTTTTTTGTTTGTTTAAACGCGCTAATCTCTGGAACTACCAGTCCGATTTGAAAAATTATTTTTGTATATTATAGCCAGAGTCATGTGGAATAGTATAGGCTATCTAGCATTAAACTATATCACTAAGCTAGCCTTAAATATGGATATTTGTAAAGCAAGTCAGAAGAAAAAGCACTCCCGAAATGATTTATCCGCGTACGCTGGTGTTGTCGTTATGGATACGTAAATACAATGTTGTAGACAAATATAGATCTTTACTCCGTCTAAAAAAAAGTCCGCGATACCATATGTCTGTTTCTTATACATAAGCCATAATTAGGTATTTTGTGAAAATAAAAATTGATTTATGAGCGTTATTATTCTGCATGGCCTATTTATCCTTACGAACGAAATTACTTCATCATCAAGAAAATTTTATGAAGATAAACTTTGTTCTTTATACCATGTTATTTAGACGCATAGTTTAAGAGATAATGTAAAATTAAAATAATTCAATACTTGGCTGGGCGCGCGAACGACGCATAAACTGTAGCCGCTACCCAAATACCTAAAATAAATTATAAATGAAATAAAAAATAAATTTAAAATTATTTGGGACACTTTCTGGGACGTGGGGTGGGGGGGTGGGGGGGAAGGAAAGTGGATAATATTTAACTACGCTCTACATCATACATAATATGCCGACAGATAAAAGTAATCCATTAATTATGCCAATTTTTCCATACATTGCTAACAAATAAAATATTTAATTGCAATTATAAAATGCTTGAGCTAGGTCATGTCGCGCACCTCCAACACGTGATGACGCGGGTGAAACCGCGGGGCACAGCTAGTATAATATAAGAAGAAAATTTACTTGTTGTTGAGTAAATGCTCAGCAATGTAGATACGTTGTCACTCGTTAAAACTAAGACACAATGCGTCGCTTTAAAAAGTTTAAAAAGTGTCTCCAGTTCTTTACACTCACTATACGAAACACACACTGGCATTCTGTGAGAGCGCGGTCCTATCCAGGTCGAGCCGACCCATTCGTGCAAAAACCATAATACAGCTGCAACATCATGGCTCTAAAACGTAAGAAATCATCCTCCATGTCGCATCTGCTTTTTGATTTTTGACTGAAGATACTAAGTTTCTATGGGTCACAACATCCACTTACCATTATGTACACTGTGTGCTCGTTTGTCACGTTTGCTACTATAACAAAAAAAAAATGCTTCGTATGTACATGCGCAGTTAACATCAAGCCCCAAGTATGTAAGAAGTGTGTGAGGCATGTGGCTTACGAAAGTTAACGAGTATTGAATAATGTTTGTTTTTTCTTCTTTTTTTTCTTCTTTTTTTTCTTCTTACTTGTCCGCAATCTTACCCACGTGCCCGCATCTTCATTATTTTTTGCTAAATTGAAGCCAAAATGCAAGTCTTAAGCTAAAGAGACATATCATTTATACATACTTACACTAATAATACTATTGTGTTCGTTTTCGTCATATCATCTATCACCACCTCATCTCATAGCCGAAAATCAGTGTTTGCTCCTCTCTGAGCAATATTAATCGCTGAGCTAGGACCCATTTGTTATTGTACCTACATGTAATTTTAAATCTTAATATTATGTAACTTTTTTGTAATACATTATTTTGTATCTAGTTGATTCACTGAATTTACGTGTGTGATAAGAGAAACAAATAAATGCTTTATCCATCTATTTATCAGAAAAAGAAACAGAAACAGAAACTTTTCTAATTAATATAGATTATATATAATACTTATTGAAACTCACTCTTTTGTTTTATTTACCACTGATTCGGAAAAAACCTCCGCCTTGGGAAGAACCAGCAAGAAACCCAGCGAGACTTATTTCTTTTGATAAAAGAAATAACTGCTTACAACCATACACTTGTATGTTACACAATTAAAAATACAAAAAAATTAGAAATAGCTTGGTAGCGATTACCATACCCATACCTCATTCATCCATACATTTCTTAATATTATAATAATCCTTTTATACAAACTTTGTTTAATTAAGTTCTTGAACTTTGAGGAGGTCAAATTTTGTATATTTTCTGGGATTTTGTTGCGAAAACGTATACATCGCGCCAAAAATTTATTACTGATTCGGTGGAGTCGAGTGACTGTCTACCTGTCCATCTATCACTTTTTAATTTGAATTCTTTCACTCTTTTGCAGCGCAATAAGACCCAGGATGGTAAAAACGCGATGACGCCCGGGCTGAAGATGGAGTCAAAGAGCACCCAGATCCACTTGCCGCTGATGGGGCGCGGCAGCCGCGGCGATCTCAGCGACAAGGTCACCTTCTCACAAATCAAGTCACCAGAACAGCTCAATAATGGACAGCTTTTGGGGTAAGTCTCCTTATTTTTATATAATAAAGTAACAAGTGAGCACACAGTGATAGTAAGACGATGACAAACTGGTAAGTTGTTATCCTGATGGTAAGTTAATGCTACGGAAAGACATCTACATCTATCATCGATTTAGAATAAAAATGTAGATGTGTTGCCACCCCTGAGTACTAAGAAGAAAACGCTGAGTAATAATTTAATAAAAATTTTGTACAGCCGACTTCAATTTAAATTATTAAGAATAACTCAAAAACTATTAGTCTGACCTTTATCAAATTCATATGGAACCACATGTGAAGTACCAGCTTTCAAATAAAAAAAAGAATCATCGAAATCGGTTTACCCAGTAAAAAGTTATGAGGTAACACACATAAAAAAACGTACAGTCGAATTGAGTACCGTCTCCTTTTTAAAGTCGTACACGGTAACTTCTGAGTGATATATAACATATTTTATATCACTAAGAAATTACCACGTAGTAGCGTAGTAAGAATATCCATAATAATTTAATAAAATTTTGTACAGCCGACTTCAATTTAAATTATTAAGAATAACTCAAAAACTATTAGTCTGACCTTTATCAAATTCATATGGAACCAGATGTGAAGTACCAGCTTTCAAATAAAAAAAAGAATCATCGAAATCGGTTTACCCAGTAAAAAGTTATGAGGTAACACACATAAAAAAACGTACAGTCGAATTGAGTACCGTCTCCTTTTTAAAGTCGTACACGGTAACTTCTGAGTGATATATAACATATTTTATATCACTAAGAAATTACCACGTAGTAGCGTAGTAAGAATATCCACTACTCCATACCATTCTACTACCATAAAAGGCGACAGAGGGATACTGAAACAGAAAATGGGCAGCAGCATTTCAATGACAATAACTCAAAATTTCAAAAAAAAAAATTGCACGTGGTAGAGCCATATTGCAATTATATTAGTAGTAATAGTTGTAGCACGGTTGGGTCGCCTCGACCAGGGAAGGACCACGTTCTCACAGAATACCAGCGTAAAATAGCAGTTAGTCGTAAGATGAGTGTAGAGAACCGGAGACCCTTTTGCTGGAAAAGAGGCATTCCATCTTGGTCCTCACGGGTGACAATGCATCTGCATTTTGGTTCGCAAAGGAGGATAGATGTAGATGTCTATAGGCCACGGCATCCACTTGCCATCAGTGGGACTGTGTGTTCGTTTGTCACCCTATCCTATAAAAAATGTGGTTGCCAACTCGCCTGCCAAGCGTGGCAACTATGGTAAAATCAGGGTAGATGAGGCTATCTATGGGGGAATTCTATGTACAGTAGTAAAATTTTAAAGCCTTAAACATTTGATCCAATGTAGATGGGTGAATCAGTAATAAACAGTAACAAATTGACTAATGGTTACTGTGCCGCGAGTTGTTTTTGGGGTCAAATGTTGTATTCGTTTTGTTCTATTGACTCTGGTACTGAATTCGAACATGTACCCAACATTTTCACGGATATCAGGCACAAAATTGGTAACGCAAATTGTTAATTGCTGTTAAAGGTGCTCATTTATCACATGCTCGTCGGTGTAGGAAAACAATTTGTGAAAACCTGTGTGTCCATTAAATGAAAACGTAAAGTCAGTCAACATGTATTTGGGTAGTTTGATGGACTTGTTCCTACCCAAAACCCTCTGTCATTTTACTTGTTACTTTCACATTTTATTTATACATGATAATGTTCGTAACAAATATTTTTATACAATTTATAGTCATATGCGTGAACATAATATGTCACAGGTCTCTTCTTTGTTATACCTAGTCAGGTAATAAATTCTGTCACATGTTTGAATTGGCGCATAACGGCAACGATGCAACGCAATAACTGCAACACGGTCTTCTTTAAGCGTCCATTCCATATTTAAAAATGAGTAAAATTCTAAAAAGTATACAGTTTTATTTTCATGAACAATTCGAAATTCGAATTCAATAAACTTTTTTGTGGCCAGCATTCTAAAAGAAAAGTTTTTACTGTGTGACAATACTTATGACCTGACTAGGTATTGTTGAGAAGGTTTTAGGACATGGTAATGTCCGCCGCGAATTCGCGAGCCCTATGCGCGTTGGCGTTTTTCTTATCTTTCACCGCTGAGCAAGTGATAAATTAGCACTTAAAATGCAAATTAACAATTAGTTGGAGCCGGAACCGAATCCCCCTCCTTTCTCCGTGCAGTGGTGTAAGAACATCCATTACCTCATATCGTCCCGTGGGTGTCGTAACAGACTACAAATGGAAACTAAAACAGGAGATGGGCAGCAGCATCTTCCTGACAACAATTCAAAATATAAAAACTACGGTTGTCAACTCGCCTGCCAAGTGTGACAAATATGGCAAGATAATAAAAAGACTTAACCCCTGAGCCCTCAACGGAATAAACAGTTTTCTTTATTCAAGTGTGATGATATTTGATAAAGAAAACTGTTTATTCCATTCAAAATAAGAGTTATCGTATAATTTCACGTTTCCACAAACAGGCAAGATGCGAATATAAAATCCCCATATACGTCACACAGTCAACAGCCTTTACTAATACATTCAATAGAGCTACATTTGCGGAGGCAATTTTTCAGGTTCAAGGAAGTTGTTGTTTGTTACGTGTAATTCGTTTGCCAGACGATAAGCGGTCTTATCTTATTACAATAAGATAAAAAATTGACCAACGTGTTTAGACACTGATTCAGATACCGTTATTCACTGTAGAGCGGTCATTTTGGCACTAAAGTAATGCAGACGCGATTGTGATCACTTTTGACGATTGTGTGAATTATTAACTTAATGAAATTTCATTGTTTTAATTTAATGGTAGCTCATATGCAAATACTTATTTACTAGTGATGGCGCGACGGATTGTTTCTTTGCCCTGCAACACTCAGCAATAAGAGTCCAGGACGGGCAGTATTGAGGTGTTAGTTGCAAAGCTAAACCTTTACTGAGTTACTTTGCTTTTAATTTTTAAACGTGGTAGAGCGACGCTGCAGCTACATATATTAAAGTTGTATCACGAATGGGTCGGCTCAACCGGGGTAGGACCGCGCTTTCACAGAAAATCAGTGTAAAAGGTCAGCTTAATGTTGCTGTGAGTGTAGAGCACCGGAGACCCTTTTTACTGGAAAAGAGGCATTCCATCTTAGTCCTCACCGGTGACAACACATCTGCGTTTTGATTCGTAAGTTGAGTATGGATGTGGATGTCTATGGGCTACAGCAATTTACTATCAGGTAGACTTTTTGCTTGTTTGTCACCCTATCCTATAAAAATACTGGCTCTCTATACACTTCAGACGAAAGAAAAAAAAGAAAAAAAAAGACGAAACACAGCAGTGCAAGCACTGCTAATTGGAGGAGGGAATAAAACTCATCTAGTATAGTTATCCAAGGAGAACACAGAGAAATGCGTTTGTATGAATTAAGACCGGCTTCTCTTCATAAAAACTAGTGCCAGCACCGTACTTTGTCTTCAATCTGATCTAAAGACGAACGCTACGCTATTAATAAACGCAATAATTTCAAATCAAATCTTTAACTTTGGTTTGTTTGTATATTAGAATATATTTCGTAAACTAGCTGTTCCCCGCGATTTCGCCCGCGTGTAATTTAGCGTTTTAATGTTTTTTGCGCGGAACCCTAATTCCTTTTCTACAACAAAAGTAGCCTAAGTTACTCTTTATAGTATGAGCTATCTGCCTGTGAAAGTCCCGTCAAAATCGGTACAGCCATTTCGGAGATTAGCCAGAACAAACAGACGGACAAAAATTTAAAAAATTGTGTTTCTGTTTTAAGTACCGTATATACTTTCATATGCATTTAGTAAAAAGCTGTTATTTTGACACTACAAACAGACACTTCAATTTTATTTATTTGTATAGATATAGATATAGATTTACATTATAACATACCAAATTGAATCATATTATATTATATGTACTACGTTTTGTTCTTTTAATTGAAAAACGCGATATTGTAATTAAATAAAACACTGAAAGGATATGAGATAGAAACAAAGGGAGATGATTCAGACAAATTAAAAGTCGCTCAGACAACCTGCTCTTTGTTACAGTGCGAATTCGTCACAAAGGCATATTGCAGTGGTTAGAATACCTAACAAGTAACTGGTGACTGACTGGTGGCTGATTCCACAAAATCGTACTACACTGACTGTGTGATATTACACTATTATTACATTTCATAAAAAATACGAAGTTTTTTTTCATATTCATACGTTGTCGTCCAAATCCGTGATATATTACGTTCATAATTACAAGTATCTAAATCTTCGGGAAGTTAGTTTAAAATCAATTACTAAATTCCTACCGAATACACATATACGCATTGGCATACGATATTCATGTTTGCGTACATTCATATTTTCGTATATTTACTGGCTTGTAAAAGTTAGAATATTAATTTATTTGAACAGTTCCCTTACCGAGTCACGAAAGCGCAAATTATAAATGGTTCGTACTGCTCTTTATTGCAAAATAATAACAGTCTTCACGTCATCTGCATGTCCTTATAATAAAATATCATTACCACGTTTTTGGTAATAAAATCTAGATTGCGGAATGCTTTGGGGTCTAAACATAGAAACTATTTAATAAACTCATCTCAGCTGCATAAGCTGTTGGAAACATTCGACAATTAACGGATGTAGCTACTGCTAGATTGTTTACTATTGTGACGAATTCGCATTGTAATAACGACCATGTTCCTTTGTTTCCATCTCGTATCCTTTTAGTGTTTTATTTCATTACAACATATTCTCATGTGTGGAGTTTTTATCAATTAAAAGAACAAAACGTAGTTCATAAAATATATGATTTAATTTTGTATTATACCTAGTCAGGTCATAAGTATTGTCACACACTAAAAACTTTTCTTTTAGTAAGCTGGGTACAAAAAAGTTTATTAAATTCGAATTTCGAATTGTTCATGAAAATAAAACTGTATACTTTTTAGAATTTTACTTA